GGAGTATTTCCACCAGAATTTAGTAATCAGAGTAATTCCCTTAGGTTGCTACTGTTCAACCCAAGTGATTCTTTAAAAAATAATTTATTTAACTTTATTTTATGTACATTGGTATAAAGGTATCAGATTCCTTGGGACTGGTGTTACAGAAAGTTGTGAGTTGTCATGTGGGTGCTGGGAATTGAACTCAGGTCCTCTGGAAAAAACAGCCAGTGCTCTTAACTGATGAGCCATCTCTTCAGACCCTGAGTGATTTTTTTAAATTGGATTTTAAAGCTTCTACTCTTAATCTCTTGTTTGCTTTGTAAAATTCTCTCACTGAATTAATGAGTAGCCAAGATGAGTAGAATTCTTAGTCTGTCAGGCCATGATGGTCCTATGGACAGAAGCAAATAACCAGCAAGTGAGAGGAAACTTGCCAGACATAGGAGACTTTCTGGGGTTCAGCAGGTTGAAATTGCACAAACATTCAAATTGTTTTAAGTGATACAATCCCCTAGCTGTCAGAGCTTACAACTGTGCTCTTTTCCCATGAGATCGATTTTTGTAAAGAACAAATACTCATATAGAAATTCTTCAACACAGCTAATATGTGGACCTGTGGTTGATAGCTAAAGATCTCCCCATTCTAGAAAAACTTCTTTCCCCCAATTTTTAAATCATTTGAAAGACACCAGCTCATGTGTGATGAGTCGTAGACACAGTAGATGTTACTATTTGGAGATTCATTCCCTACTGCTGACTCAGTCTTACTTTATTTCTTGGCTTCTCTTACCTCTCCCAGTCTCAAATTCAGTTAACTTATTAGGAATAGGTATACAAGGGAAAAAGCACTCATTTATAACCATTGTTTTATTTGTAAACTGATTGTTGGGGTTAAGGAAATAGCCTAAATGGTAAGTTCTTACTACAAACAGAAGAATCCAAGTTTCAATCCCAGCATGGGGGCGGCAAAGACAGACAGATCCTGAGAGCTCACTGACCATCTAGAAGAGTTAAATCAGCAGATGAAAGTAGAACTGATGCCCGGTTGATAAGAATAAGGTAATAAAGAGGAAGGTACAAGAGTAAAATGAGCTAACTTTTATCATCTCTGAAGTTCTCCCCCTGGGAAGTCAGCTAAGGTGAAGTCTTTTGTATAGGGACTACACGGGGGAGTCTCTTAAGACCATCTCCGACTGAAACAAAATTTTATTGTCTAAAACAAATGCTTTTGCTCATTTGACTTATTTTCTATTAGCTCTCAACTATAAGCCCTAAACACATACAATACTTAATGTGGCTCAGACACAGAAGTTTTCCAAATATATGATGTCCCCATAGAAACTCTTTGTCTTCATAGGAACTAGGGCACTACTCTAATCTTATGTAAGAATGACCTTTCTGGGGACTCTGACGTCTGTGTTGGAAGTGACAGGCTTTCTCAGAACCACTATCAAGGTGCAATGAAGGAGCAAATCACTAGCAACTCTCTTTCTCATTTGTGAAGAGTCACATGTCTGTATAACTCTGTCCACCAAGGAATAGAAAGGCTGGAAGCTGATATGATAGGCCAGGAAAAAAGCTATTTTAAACTTCAATTGTTAAGGAGAAAAATATCATTAGTTTCTGCATTTGAGCAAATATATTGCCAATAATTGATTTCTACTACAGGGACTGATTTTAAAGAAGCCATTGAAAGTAAAGATTTGTCTCTGTAAAATTGAAGAAATGGGGTGAAGACATTAGTCAGAGCTATTCACAGGATCATATAAAGAAAGATTTGATCGAATCTATAGTTTAATTCAAAGGTAGAATGTTTAAAGTCCTACATTTTTCTAATTATCAGGTAATTCCCATCCAAGTTTTTCAAGTTACCTCACTCCCAACCCCTTCCAACTCCCAACCCCTTCAAACTCCCCATTGTCAACTTTAGTTCTGTTCAGTTTCCTTAGCTCCACTTCTTACCTCACTTTTTGTGATCTCCTACTTCCTTCTGAATCTATGATCTAGAAACATCACTAAAGAGTTGGTCACTGGTCATCTGTTGGTTCTGGTCATCTGTTCCTACCATCATTTGAGACTACAGTAGGTCAGCCCTTCTAAAGACTCAAATCTTTCGCATTCTAAGATAGAGCACCACTGTCACTGTCTTTGTCTAAGTGCATTTTTAGGAACATCTTTGTCTCTTTTCAACAATCATTTCCCCTCCAGACAGGTACATTTCATCCAAGGAATCTACTGTTCCATTGCCTGATCATTAACCAGAGCTTTAGGCTAGGATCTAATGGCTTGTTATAGATCTTTGTGAGACTATTTAGACCAGAATCTCTGAGTTTTTTATTGCATTCCTCTGTGCACCATTTTTTTTTAATATTTAAGGGTTTTTTTGCTATTCCAAGTACAAACCTGGACAGTATTGCTGATTCCACTGTTTCACAAAGCTTTACCACACATCTGCTTGCCGTATCCTGCCCTGTAACCTACATGATGGCATTCATGTGGCCTTCCCCATCCCCCACACACAACAACACAAGTGCACATAATTTCCAAAGCACCTGATTGATCCTTTACTTGCAGTTTCTCTACTTCTTCCAACTACTATCAAACATTAGATTTACCTTCCTAGTAGGCATCTCTGACCCTGGTATTTCTCTGGTCAAATAATTATTTTTGACTCATACGCCTCAGACTAGCAGCCAAGAGTTGCAAGGTCCTAAAGTTGCCTCACTTACATTATGTCTGACAGTCTCTTGTTATATCTGTTATATCCCTAGATCCAGCTTTGTTCTTTACCTGAACCATTTCGTTCTATAGGTTTGAACTGAGATTCTGAAGTCTGGTATACAGATTTTGCATAATCCCCTACCTGTGAGTGTAAGCTGTGTCTGTGAATATAGCACAGCACTTGCCCTCCTTGGGGGTTGTGTTACATGGACATAATAAGGGCATTTCCACAGGTGTAGTCAGCTGAATGTGTTAGTCAAAATGTAGATTATCTTGGACAGGCCTACGATCATCAGGCGTGTCTTCCAAAGGTGAGTCAAATATTTTTTTAAAAGAGGGTCTCCTGCTGGCTTTGTTGAATGAAGTGATCAAAGATGAGCTCTATAGCTGCAAGAAAGTGAATCCTGCCAACAACCACATGTACTTGGAACAGGATCTAGGGTGTCAAATGACACTGCAGCCCTGGGCAACAGTGATTGCAGCCTTGTGAGATCCTGAGAGAACCAATTAACCTGTGCCTGGATGCCTGACCTACAGAAACTGTGAAAAAATAAATGGGCATTAAGCCAGTAAGATTGTGATCTTTTGTTACACAGCAGTAGATACCTAATATACTTTGTCCTTGTGGTTAAATTAGATCAATAGAAGATAGTCACCCATGCTGAGGAGAGAAAGGAAGATAGATTGAAGCCTTTATTCTGCCTACAGCACTCCCCTTCTGCCAAAGACTGTCCTTCAGCTGTAATTGCCCCTCCAGGGTTCCAGCAGAGCCAAGGGACTTCACTGTCATGTACTATTTCCCTTCACTCTGCTCAGAACTGTATGCAATAACCCATTGTTAAGCTGGCTCCAACTTCCCCTCTAGAATGAGCCACCAGTGTTTTTCCTGAGGACAGATCTACTCTCTAGTATTGACTTATTCCTATTCCAACACACTTCCAAACCAGACTGCCTCTTTGTACATCATTCCGTGTTCACTCACCTGATGTTTTGACTCCAGGTTGCTACCATTGGATAAAATTGAGAGACCATTAGTGTAATTACAAAAACTTGGGATTTGGCTGCTTGCTAGATTCGAGATCTTGGGGAAGAGAGTTCAACTCTCTATGCAGCTTCCCTGTCTATAAAATAGTGTTAATAACACCCACCAAGAAATGGTTTTTGTAAAAGTTAAATAACACATGGCAATTAGTCAGTATCTAAAATTTAGAAATTAGACAGCAGTGGTGGTACACACCTTTAATCCCAGCACTCAGGAGGCAGAGTCAGGCACATCTCTATGAGTTCAAGGCCAGTCTGGTCTACAGAGTGAGTTTCAGGATGGTCAGAACTACACAGAGAGACACTGTCTAGAAAACAGAAAGAAAAGAATAAAAGAAGGGAGGGAAGGAATGAGGAAGGGAGGGAGGGAAGAAGGGAAGGAGGAAGGAAGGAAGGACTTAGCAACTAATAGTTCCTATGAAATTTCCAAAACTGGTGTTGTTTATGAATTCACCTACTGAGCCCTCCTCCAGCTGTTGTATTTACCTGACAATCCCTCTGAAATGCTGCTGCTACTGGTTACTTTTCTTACTGTTGTGACAAGAATCAACTTAAGGGTCTGTTCTGGCTATCCAAATAGAAGGCAAACAACCCATCTCAGTGGAGAAGGCAAGCTGGTGGAGGACTACCAGAGGTGGGAACACATCTCAGCAGGTCAGGGAGCACAGACATCTGTATATAAGAGCTCGGACATAAAGCCCACTGGCCCAGTCACCTACTTGCTCCAGCAAGGCTCCACCTCTTCTGTTTCTATAATAAAACCTTCTGGAATAGCGCCACCAGATGGGGACCAAGTGCTCAAGGCTGGGTCCAGGGGACATATCACACTCAGAGCACAATCCTGTCTTTACTATGAACTTATTGAATCCACATTACAGAAGAAAGAATACTTCCCATTAGTCCTTCAGCAACATTTGCTCTCTTAAAGTGCCCACATCATAATCTTACAAGAGTTATATTTATTTGCCTCTGGACAGATACTTTTTCCACTGGCTCCTAAATAAATGATGTGCACTGGATCCAAATAACATCATGATGTGAGCTTCACAGAACATCAGTAAAGATCCATAAACTGGATGTGTATTCGTCAGTTTGCTGTTGTTTTGTTTTTGCTTTTGCTTTTAGTGCTGAAACAAATACCTAAAACTGTTTTTTTAAAGGAAATATTTATTTGAGTTCTTGTTTGCAAGAATTTCAGTTTATGGTTGATGGCTCCATTTTCTTTTCTTTTTTTTTTTTTTCTGGACCTGAAGAGTATGATGGGAGAAACACATGAGAGAGAAGGTCACTTACATCTTGGTGGCCAGGAAGCAAAGAGAGCGTCAGGAAAGAGCAACAGGAAAATACCCAGGAAGGAGCAAAGGGCAAGAACCCAGGAAGGAACTTGAAACGCCTGTCTCCAGTGAGGACATCCTTCAACCAGTCCCCACCCCCTAACACTTCTGTCACCTCCCAATAAAGCTGTCCACATCGGAATCTGACAACTGATAAACCCACTGACGAAGTCAAAGCTCTTATGATCCAGCCACACGCCCCAAACTACACCTATGAACACTTGCACTGTGGGAGTACTTCCATTCAGAAGCTTTGGGCAAGAGCCCTCCTTTGGTAGCTAACCCACAAAAACATCAATACTCCGGTTCGCTCCTTTTAAAACAATTACTCATTTTATTTTTTGAGATTGTAACCACACCATTTCCCTCTTCCCTTTATTGCCTCTAAATCTTCCCTCTTCACAATCTAAGACAATAGCAAAACATTTTAATATCATTGGTCACAAATGCAAGCATATTGCTATATGGTAATTAAATAAGATTTGATGGCTGTCCAAAACAATGTGACTTGGCCAACCTGGCCTAGTTTGGCATACAAATCACTCCACCCATAATTCTTACTGTGTCTAATCAAACACTGAATAGGTAAGCCCTTGGTACAGCAAATGCTACTCTTGGCTGTGGCTTCTGGCTCCTAGGAAAAGATTTGCAACCAGGAGTAAGTAGGGCCAGGGTTGGGTGTCACACCAGTAACAAATGATACACAGGCTAAGAGGTTTCTCAGGGGAGTTGCCACAGGTTCCAATGGAATGACAATTACAAGGTAGATGGATCATGTCACGCCTGCTGTGACCTTTGCAATACATGAGGATCATTATTTTAACGTTAATTTGCATAATGGTCGGCCTAGCAGGAACAATGCTGAATGCTAATAGCTGCAGGATGCAATAAAATTAAACATTATCTGGGCTGAACTGCTAAAGGAAAAGTTGCCAAAGTATGACTCTGTAAGTACTTAATTTCATCCCAGGTCATGCCCACATACTATCAAATGAGGATTTCCGGTACCTCTTGAAAAACTGGCAAGAACTGACTAGAATAGAATAGCAGCAACTTCCTTGCCAGTTGTCTGTGTTTTGCTACAATTTGTCTGTCCCTCCTGAAGAATTTGGGATTGTAATTCTCACCATATCTTGTCCCAATACTCACTGTCCTCTTACTCCTTATGTATTCACTGACACATGATAAACTTAGAATTAGCCCGACTTTCTGAACTGGTGGATCCTGAGAGAAACGTTGTAAATAGTAAGATCAGGCCAGGCCAGGAGGACTGAGCCTCCTTAGAGTATCTTTCCCCTCAGAGTATTAACTAACCTCACATCGTTAGCTGTGGGTGGAAGGTGGTGGTCAGCACGGAGTTAAAAAAAGCAATAAATGTCTGATATTCTTCTTCCCTAATATTTCTGCTTCATGGAAAACAGACCGAACTTTTCATTCACTTTGGACTCCAAACCCTTCTTCAGAGAAGAATTCATTCAAACTGGATTCACTTCTCGTTCCCATGTGTGCGCTCATTTCTACCACAAGAGGGCAGCCATCTCTAAAAAACAACAGCCCTGCTCTTCGAAGAAATCGGGCCAAACTTCAGGAAAGTTTCTGGGAAAAGCTTGCAGCAGCAACTCAGGGATTGCATGCCCTACAAGAGAAGAAGACCCCCCCCCCAGGCACAACCAAGGTGGAGTAACCGTCAAGAAGCATCCATTTGTCCTCAGAGTCTTGATTACTATGGATATCAGAAATAGCCAAATTCCCACTTCTGGGGCTCTGAAGGCCCAAAGCTGCAAGGCATTGTTGATGTCATCACCAGAGGTTTCATTTTCATCTCTTCTTGGGGTGGGTCCAACAGCTGTCAACTTTCTCTTCCTCACTAAAGGCAACATTCTGATTTAAATCTCGTATAAATCTGGGGTTTGGTTCGCTTATCCCGCCTCACTGATGACAGAGGCAATAGTTAACTTCTCAGTTAAACTTGATAGGGAAGGAAAGGGTTTTGGAAGGGACATGTTCTTTTGACTTAAGTGTCTGAGTGGAGTGTCCTGTTGTTCACTCGTTTAGTGTCTTATGATTCAGAATGACAACTTCTATAACGCTTTTGAAAAAGCAATACAGTAGCAGATTCCTGAATCTTTCCTTTCCTCACCTTTAACTTTCTCAGTAGACCGTCTTCCTTCAAAATACCTTATTTGACCTTTACAGCTCTAGAAACAGCCAGGGCCTCATTTCCCTCTGTGGGTTGCTAATCCGATTTAGGTGAATAGAACCCTGAGTTATTTTAGCTCCCCAACTGAAAAGCTAATACATATGGATAATACATTACTAAAGCCCCTGCTTCTGGTTTTTCTCTGTCTCTTCTTTGCAAACTTGGAAGATCTGGTTCAAAAGCTGATGTTACCAATCTGGTCTTCTACAAAAATATTCTGCCCTTGGCTCTGGGGGTCATGTGGGCAACCAGGTGGTGGTATGCATGAAGGCTCCTGGAATTCTGGAAGAAGTGGAAAGAGTTCAAAAAGAATCCTGGCTCAGCAACTTTGGGGACGTTCCAGCTGAGGGAGAAAAGTGGCTTGGCCATAGCCAGAGCCTTCTTCTGGAGACCCGGTGGGACAGGACCAGGCAGACAATTCTAAGGTCTCAAACCGGAATTGTCTTGTTACCTGCCTCTGTGGGTGTGGGGGGGGGGGGAGGGTGGAGAGAGTCGAGATAAATATCCCAAGTAGTGAAGTAATTGCTTCTATAAAAAGAATCAACCTCCTTTGGTCCTTCACATGGACACACACATACACACTACACAGGAGACATCCACTTTACATGCCTACATCTGTACAGAAACCTGTGCCTTCATTTGTACATTTTACATAAATAAAAACATATAAAATGTATGCGTCTTTTTATATTGGATGTATTTATTTGAGTATAGAGATAAATGCAATCACGTAGGGGTGAATATACATGCTTGCATATTTATACAAATGTAATAATGCACTCAATGTGTATCTGCTATTTCTTGACATTTTCTTCTCATCACTCAAAACATAGAAGTGTTTGCCCGAATCTCTTCCAAGGTGTCTGATAACTTGCTAGTTCTCATCTTCTTTTCAATGCTCAATTACCTAAAAACTTCAAACTCAAGTTGAATAACGGCCCAGTGGGGGACTCCGAGGCGACCAGACCCTGACTCTGCCCTGGACTCGGAGCAGCTATGGGCACAGGTCCAGGTCCCGAGGGTCGGCTTCAAACTCGTCTGGGACCCGACCCTCCGCGGCCGCGCGCTAGCCCCGCCCCGCCCCACCGTGGCCACCCCGCTGGGCGCGCCGTCCACACCCCTGCGCGCCGCTCCCGCCCGCTCGGGGATCCCCGGCGCGCTGCGCCTCCAAGGGGGAGGTGTTCGGCCGCGGCCGGGAGGGAGCCGGCAGGCGGCGTCCCCTTTAAAAGCCGAGAGCGCCGCGCCACGGCGCCTCCGCCGTCGCCGCCGGAGTCCTCGCCCCACCGCGCTGAGCCCGGCTCGCGCTGCGCCCGCCGCTGCGCTTCCCACAGCCTGCCCGGGATAGGCAGCCCCGGACATCGCCTCCCCAGCCGCCGCCGGTCACCGGACACCCTCGGGGCGAGCGGCGCGCGGGTCAGCGGAAGCTTCGAGGTGCCAACACTCCTCGGCTTGGAGCTCCTGACCGTGCGCGCCTGGCGCTGTGGCCTCGGCTGCCCGGGAGAAGCCGTAGCCGCGGATCGACGCGAAGAGCCAGGAGGCAGGAGCACAGCCGCGCCCGGAATGCGGGGCCACTCCAGCCGGGGGCCGAGTGTCCGGGGCGCGCGGACGGAGGAGTGAGCGGACCCCAGGTTGCCACAAAAGACATTTGGCCCGAGGGCTCCGACAGCGAGGTCACCCGGTTTGGCGACCTGGGACGCGGCTGAACTGACTTGGAGAATGCGCCCCAAGACGCCGGGGCACCGCAGCCGTGCGGGCTCCGCTGGCGAGCGCTGATGGGGGTGCGCCAGAGGCCGGCTAAGGGATGCAGAGTGGCGGCCCGTCCGCCACCCAGATCTTCGCTGCGCTCTTCCCCGGACCCGGCGTCTCCCAGGATGGCTGCCCCGAGCCATGGATCGCGGCCGAGCTAGCGCGGAGCCGCCGACCCTCGTCCGGCGAGTCCCAAAACCACCCCTGCGCCCCACCAGCGCTGGTCCCTGAGGACGACGACAGCGGCAGCCTTGCCTCTGCCTTCCCTTCCCTTCCCTGCCCCGTACTCCTCCCCCTGCTTGAGGCAGTGTGTCAGCACTTGGCTGGAGACTTCTTGAACTTGCCGGGAGAGTGACTTGGGCTCCCCACTTCGCGCCGGTCTCCTCGCCCGGCGGATCCAGTCTTGCCGCCTCCAGCGCCGCCACTTCTCTGCTCCTCCGCCGGCCCGGTCCACCCCAAGACACCGTTCCCCACGGGGAGAGGGACGAAGCGGCTGGCACCCAGAGAAGGAGAAGTCGAAGAAAGATAGCCGAAGCCTGGTCCTACTCCAGGTCCCTCGAACAGAGCTTTTTCCATGTGGAGAATCTCTCAATGGACGTGCCCCCGAGTGCTTCTTAGACGGACTGCGGTCTCCTAAAGGTAGAGGACACGGGCCGGGACCCGGGCTGATGGGTGACACGGCGTTCCCGCCATGCGGTGCTGAGTGCCACAGGTTGAGTGGACGTAAACAGACCCTCTCTGGGTGCACGTGCAGCGAAGCCCTAGAGGGGTCAGGCATCCCAAACCCCAGACCCTTTTCCTTGCCCACCTGGCCTGCGTTCTTCCGCCGGTCCGTCCTTCTCCCCAATTTTCGGTATATTATTAGGGCTGTTAAAGACTTATGGCTTTATGAAGAAAAGAAAAAGAAAAAAAAGGAGTTACAGAAATCCAGTGGATTTCACCCGTTAGTTGTAGATCAGTACTATGGGTTCTAGAAATACCGGGCCGTCCTTAAGTTACTCCTGAGACCTGGAGTCTGTCCTAAGAACTAGGTACATTGAGGAAAGTACTTAGAGTTGGGGTTCTCCGTGTGTGTTTACTGTGAGGATGCGTCACAGTTTACACGTGCATTCATAGAAACTACCATGTACATAATTGCGGGAAGGTGCGTGGGTTCCTTTGACTGAACAGGGGTCTAGGACAGAGGGCAGAGTGACCAGTGGGTCAACCCTGAGGTTAGGGGCGTGGGCCACATCTTGCAAGTGGCGTCATAAATTGTAATCTTGAGTTTAGCGCTTACTGCATCTACAAGTTAGGTATATTAGTGTACCAGGAAGTTCTATACAGCGCCTCTAAGGAAGTCACATGTGCATTTGTGTCTGTTTATGTGCAAATGAGCGCTGCACAGTATAGTTTTGTAAGAGATGCAGTCGGTGACTTCCCAGCTCCCAGACACCACCTTCCTAGCTAGTGTCCCAAGAAAAGGTGACTGATGGTCACTGGTGTTTATTGGGAGTGAAGCCCAAGCCCCACGTGAGAAGCAGGCAAGAGAATGGGATGAGAGGAGGAAAGGCACAGGGATTTGGGGTCCTCCATCCTCTTGATGATCTGGGCTGTAGCTCTGGAGCATGACATGCCAGGAAGGCATCCTGGAGAAGGCCACCGAGCCCTATGGGAGCCGGGGCCGCGGGGGCGGGCGAAGGACTGGGCGGGGAACGTGGGTGACTCACGTCGGCCCTGTCCGCAGGTCGACCATGGTGGCCGGGACCCGCTGTCTTCTAGTGTTGCTGCTTCCCCAGGTCCTCCTGGGCGGCGCGGCCGGCCTCATTCCTGAGCTGGGCCGCAAGAAGTTCGCCGCGGCATCCGGCCGCCCCTTGTCCCGGCCTTCGGACGACGTCCTCAGCGAGTTTGAGTTGAGGCTGCTCAGCATGTTCGGCCTGAAGCAGAGACCCACCCCCAGCAAGGACGCCGTGGTGCCCCCCTACATGCTGGACTTGTACCGCCGGCACTCGGGCCAGCCAGGAGCGCCCGCCCCGGACCACCGGCTGGAGAGGGCAGCCAGCCGCGCCAACACGGTGCGCAGCTTCCACCACGAAGGTGAGCGGGTGGCGGGGTGGCGGGGCGGGGACGGCGGGCGGGGACTCGGCGGGCAGCCCGGGCCTTCGCTAGCACAGCGGACGGCCCCTCTGCTTCTGTGCCGTCCCCTCTGTGGCCCGGAGCCAGGGATTCCCCACTGGTGAGTCCGCACCCTCTCCTGGCAGGTAGCCAGAAGACCGACTCCTCCTCCAAGAACTGGAGGGAAAAGGAGTGATGGGGAAGAGGGTAAAGGGCTGGCTAGTCCCTAGTCAGCTAAATGTGCGCGAGAACTCCGCAGGAGAAAGCTGAGGCTTGGGGTTCTTTACATCTGCTTGAAAGCTCAAGTCTGGGTCCTGAGTTTTAGGCCAGACGAGTCAAGGGCAGAATGTTCAGGGACAGTATTAACAAAGTAAAGCCCAAGGCCCCAAAGCATTCAGATTTCCTGATGACCTGGGCCTAGCTTGAAGGATTTTGAAGCCTATCTAATCCCCACGGGATATCAATTCCACAATCAATCTTATTGTTTCCACAATGACCTTCCCTTCTTGTGTTTAACTAGTCTCTGAGTGGAGACAGGACAAGCCTTCAGATAAAAGCTCTTTCTGCTACTGCCTGTGTAAGACAGTGGATTTTTTTCTTTTATATGAATATGGCTTTCCAAGGTAGGGTATTTCTGTTTATTTTATCAGGAAGACGTTTAGTGGTGTTGAAATGTCTTAGAGGCCTACTGAAGTCTCTTGCACTGAGTTCGTAGAGCACTTAGTTAAAAACCATGCCCCAGCTCAATTCTTTGTGTGTTACTTAAGATGTTCTTTCGGCTTAATGTGTTTTAAAGAGAATATCAGTTCCTTCAAGTTCTAGAAGAATGCAGAGTTGTCTGTCAGTGAGCTGCAATTTTTAAAATTTTGTGTTGCCTTGCTGAGATGATAAATTTCAAGTGAAAAAAATCTGTGCTCAGAAATGGCAGGGGTTGCCCCCCCTATATGGGAAGCTTAAACTTTGAGAAGTCTGGTTTGATAACAGGAAAAGGTCCCACAAACAGGTCACATAGCAAGACGTATCTTCCTCCTCCAGGTAGTCACTCATTATGAAGGACACTCTAAATCCATCTCTTTCAAATGGGTTTCTGAGTTGCTTTCTGGGAGCAAACCTCAGCTTTGAAAGATAGTGCCAGCCCATCCTGGTCTCCAGGATCTGCCCACTGAGACCAGGAAGACTCAGGTGTGTTCACTCTGTCCCCACCACCCTAAACTAATCTCTCCCAGTTGATAGTGATTGGAAAGTTTCTGTAGAAACAAAAAAACAAACAAAAAGCACAGATATATTCCCTGATGCCTCTGGAGGTTTAGCACAAAAACCCATTTGTTTGTGTATTTATTTATTTACTGGTCCTTTCTAACATGAAAACAATTTATTTGTAAAAAGCAAGCATGTACTTTATCTTTGTTTAAATTAAGCTAAAAGGATCATTAAGTCAATTAAAACACAAAAATACAATTGAATGAAGTTACATCAGTAAAATCTGCAACTTCTCACTCTTTCCTTGGAAGAGGCTTTTGGTAAAATGCTACTGTAACTTGGTGTGTTTGAGTGCTTGAGTTCCTAACAAAATTTACACCTTTAAAAGGAGTTTTCATATGTAAAATTGTATAGAATATATCAACTTGCTAAAAATAAACTTGCACTAATTTTATATCTCCATGTAATTAGATGCAATTTTTACTGTAAATTTTAGGAAAACAATTTCTTTGCTATTATCATTAGATATACATGGCATTTTTGAAGACTGTTCATTGTTGAGTTAGCCAGAGTTTGATTTTTATAAGCATCCTTGTACCACTAAAACATCATAATAAACCATGTGATAAGGCTGCTGGCTCAAGATCAGAAGGAAATTGATACACATTAATAGACACACAGTAAAGAACCTTAAGAACCCTATTCAAGAATTCCCTGGTGGGCCTCTTTATAAGTTGTATAACATGATTGGGTGACAAGATGAGACAAGAAATCCTATGATAGCCTTTCACCCAGTGGTGGATGCTTCTAGACAAAGCCTCCTGTTGAACATTAAGTCCTTTCTATTATGGATTTTATCCTGGAGAGCATAGCTTTGCTGAATCCCCTCCACCCCAGGTCACCAAAGACCTTCCCCAACTGGCTTCCACTTAAAACAGTTTGAAATTGACCCTACGGAGACCTCTGTTTTCCTAGCAGATCATACACAGAAGGATCTCACTCTTGCTCTTCTGACAGTGGAGAACACTATCTTCCTCTTTTTTGTGAAATAAATTATGTGGCCTTGTGACTAAAGTTTTCAAAGAGGGAGAAATGTTGTTGTCACAGAAAATACCCACAGACTAGGACACTTCAAGGTGTAACTCTCCTTGTGGTGAAAGCCTGCTCCTAAATTCCAGTGTGGGTCTGGACATAGACACTCAGAAATGCCCCTACCTACCTCTAGGTGTGATTCTGAAGACCCTGTGAGGAAAACAGTTGCTCAGTTTGCAGATGTTCCTTGCCCCTGATGTTTTTAATGCCTCTTGTTTGTCAGTGGGTCCTTTGGACCCCTCTGGACTCCTTCTCTCCAGGCTGCTTTTGTCCTTGTGCCCTTGGGGTATTTCACTTAGTCAATCTTTAGAGAATCACTCCTGGATCTTCAGGAGCAGTCTTCCTGAAAGTGTTGGGGGAGCAGAAGCCAAGCGGGGTGGGGTGTTAGTGGCAACCCCCAGCCCCTGCTTTTCTTTCTCACCACTTTCCTTGTTACCTTAAAAATTAAAACTTTATTCTGTGTATTTTAACTTTTTTTTTCTCTTTGGTGTGTCATTTACTTTTTCTTGTAGAAAGTCAAGTAAGGCCCAAAGCCCCTAGCATCTTGTTGCAGGAGTGTGTGAGATGCAGCTGCTGATCTGGAGCAGCCGCAGGCTTTGCTGTTGTTTTGATGGGGGAATGTTTTTTATCCAAAGGGGTTGCAAAATCATCCAAGCTTAATGATAACTTTTGAAATAAAACTCACTCTAGTTTAGGGCAAACAAGTAGCCACGAGAACAGGTTCCAACAGTGTCCTATGTTCCATTTGGCTGTGTCACTTCACTTTTCTGTTCAGTTAGCTCTGTCTACATGTCCAGAGCACTATATGTTTTGATCCTTGGGACAAAACTCACTCTGCAGTTACCATGGTATCAGGTACCAATGGCTTAGAATGTGATTTCTCTCCTATGTTAGGCAATGCCTTGCAAAGGCTAGAATTTGGGCATTGCAGTAGACTCAAGGTAACAGTTCTGGGACCTAAGAGAAATCACATAACCTCTATGAATTCTCAGATGTTTCATTCACAAAATGGAAATAGTCATGGTTCCCCTCTAATGAGTTTGTTGTAAGTACTTTGTAGAAAGATGATGGCACCAGGCTTGGCAAAAATGGATGAATGGATGGATGGGTAGATAGATGATAGATAGATAGACAGACAGACAAAGAGATAAATAGATATAGAGAGATAGGTGGATAGATAGATAAACAAATTAGGAAAGAAAGAGCATTCAGCACAGTAGCTAATGTTTTATAGTGACATTTTAATGTTCTATTATCCCTTTTTCTAGCGAGTGACCCCAGCCAAATTATTTTGAGGTAGATGAATAATCAACATAGTGTGGAATGGTAAATCTGGGCTTTGTTTCTAGGGGGGAAATGGAATAATATGGCTGCCCCATTTTCTTCCTCTTTTTTTTAAAAAAACATTTTTGTAGCCAATTGTTCCTTCCATTTGATTAAGAACTAGGAGCCTGATACTCAGGTTGGAAACAGGTAAGAATCTCAAAATCACTTAGCAAGTTCAGCTGATTCAACAAGGGATATTTACAGAGAATTAACAGCTATTTCAGCCTCCAAAAAGTGTACATTACCTACTCTGTATTTTCAGAAACCCAGGCTTGCTGTGATAATTTGTAGAGGTCTTTTCCTACAATTTACTTTATTTTAAAAAGATTTTTAATTTCCCTCCCTGAAGAGGATTTTGCAACTTAGCCCCTGAAGAAGAAAAGGTGTGTGACCTGACCCTACCTAGGCAGTTAGCCTCCTGTGTTGAGATTTTCTTTGAATTCTTGACTTCTGTGCATTACTTCAATAACAGTCACAGTAGATACATTGATGTGAAGGATAGGATAGAGTCTTCTAAGGATTAAGCTGATAGAAATGCTGTTGGAAGATTAGAGATAGGTCTTTCCCTTGTCATTAGTATTGGGTAGTGCATTGTTCTCCTTTGTGAAGGCCACTTACTCTGTCTTGCAGATACTTCTTAACTCGAGGAGTGACAGACCACAGGGAGTGTCTGTTTCTATTATGCCTCCAGTTGGAAGATGGCAACCTTGGTTTTCTTCTTAGACAGATAGTGTTCTGTATTACTTCCGTGACCTGTCTCCCATATTTATCTTGGGGGTTGCCCCTTTGCTTTTGTCTCTTGTCATGTGTGTATCTGTACGAATGCATGTGTACTTATGACTGTCACTTTTTCCTTCTTTGTGAATTGGGATTCAGGGATTTTGTTGCCATTGTATTTTTCTGTTGTTGACTGATGTAGCTGTTTGTGGGAGGCCCTGGGTAATTAGTTGGCCTTTATATCCTGTCTTTAAAGGAAGTGATATGTACCTCGCTGTGCCAATGTCAGGAGAAGCCAGTATGATTTGGTGCAATTAGGGTTTGGGGAATTGTTGCCACTTTTTCACTTTTTTATTGAAGAAGTGCCTTGGGCAGAAACATTAGGGGACCCAAGAATGGCAATGAAAATGGGTTTTTACAAAAGAACTAAATATAGTCCTTCAGTCTTTTCTAGGAATGATTATGTTCTAAAGTACCATTAGCTGTTAGTGAAATTCAGAACATAACTGGGTCCTCAAAGGTATCATCAAGAACTTATTGGCAAGCAGGTGCAAGAGAACTATGCATGATGCTAGCCTAGTATTCTTCATGTCAAAGTAGAAGAGCTTTAGAAGACTCACCTGTTTGAGTCCCTGGCTGGCTGATGGTAGCCTGAATCCTTACTCCCTGGCTAACATTAAGGCCTCTTCTACAAAAGGTGCTTTACAGATCTACTCCTTTGTCAAATATACCCTTGAATGTGGGAAACATCCTTTAAAACCATGACACTGAAGTGTGGTCCCTAAGCTTTCAGCCTCTCTTACCTAAGAGCTTAATGGAAATACAGGCTCACAGACTCTTCCAGAGTCTGAGAACTGCTGAGCTGACACAGGGCTTATTTTGCGTGAGGGTGAGATGGAGATGAGAGAACTGGCAGTAGGCAGCCATTTTTCCTGAAATTCTTTATCGTTAATTACTATAGTGTCCTACTGCCACCCATACCTTTGTCTCTAGAGTTCTGAGCAAAATGGTAGGGTGCACTTTGCAAAATGTCATCATTGATGTTGAGTTTCAGAGTCTTTAATTAAGAGACTGAAATCTCTGTATTGAGATTTGTAAATCATCTAAATTGCAGAGTAATGTTTTCAAATGCAGCTTAAAAGATTGACATTAAAGCTTGCTTTCTTAGTTAAGAAATGCAATAATGTCTTTCTTCAACCCCTCAGTCATTAGCCCTCTACTAACTATAGTGCTGACTTTTTCCCCCCTTAAATTCTGTGAATTCCAAAGAAGGGCTTCACTATTTCCTCCCTTAGTATAGCTACCTAGGAGCTATGTTCATACATTGGATTAAAAGTGTAGCAATTGCAAAGTTAATGTGACCATACAGAAAAGGGAAAATGAGACTCCATTTTCACTTTTGAGATGACATATTTTTATTTCTTTTATAGTGTTGGGCATTAAACCCTGGGTTAAGCAAGGAGGCAGGCACTGTACCTCTAACCCTGACATTTTTACTTTCTGGTTGCAAACTTTTATGTAGTTTGACTCACACTGTGCATTGAGATTTTAAATCTCTCGTAAGGAAGTAAATTACCATTGGCTCTCTTACCGAACGCTTTCCCTTTTCTCTCCACTCTAATCAAATTAGAAGCCGTAGAAGATCTACCAGAAGTGAGTGGGAAAACGTCTCGCCGTTTCTTCTTCAACTTAAGTTCTGTCCCCACTGAAGAGTTCATCACATCTGCAGAACTCCAGATTTTTCGGGAACAGATGCAGGAAACTTTGGGAAACAATAGTTTCCAGCACCGAATTAATATTTATGAAATTATAAAGCCTGCAGCGGCCAGCTTGAAATTTCCTGTGACCAGATTATTGGACACCAGGTTAGTGAATCAGAACACAAGTCAGTGGGAGAGCTTTGATGTCACCCCTGCTGTGATGCGGTGGACTGCACAGGGACACACCAACCATGGGTTTGTTGTGGAAGTGGCCCATTTAGAGGAGAAGCCAGGTGTCTCCAAGAGACATGTGAGGATTAGCAGGTCTTTGCACCAAGATGAACACAGCTGGTCACAGATAAGGCCATTGCTAGTGACTTTTGGTCACGATGGAAAAGGACATCCACTCCATAGAAGAGAAAAGCGTCAAGCCAAACACAAACAGCGGAAGCGCCTCAAGTCCAGCTGCAGGAGACACCCTTTGTATGTGGACTTCAGTGACGTGGGGTGGAATGACTGGATTGTGGCTCCTCCGGGCTACCATGCCTTTTATTGCCATGGGGAATGTCCTTTTCCCTTGGCTGATCACCTGAACTCCACTAACCATGCCATAGTGCAGACGCTGGTAAACTCTGTGAATTCCAAGATCCCTAAGGCGTGTTGTGTCCCCACAGAGCTCAGCGCCATCTCCATGTTGTACCTAGATGAGAATGAAAAGGTCGTACTAAAAAACTACCAGGACATGGTTGTGGAGGGTTGTGGGTGTCGTTAGCACAGTAAAAATAAATAAATATATATTTTAGAAAAAATAATAAACCCTACTCTCCCCCCTATAAAACAGCTGACACTTTAATATTTCCCAATGAAGACTTTATTTATGGAATGGAATGGAAAAAAACACAGCTATTTTGAAAATATATTTATATCTACGAAAAGAAGTTGGGAAAACAAATATTTTAATCAGAGAATTATTCCTTAAAGATTTAAAATGTATTTAGTTGTACATTTTATATGGGTTCAACTCCAGCACATGAAGTATAATGGTCAGAGTTATTTTGTATTTATTTACTATTATAACCACTTTTTAGGAAAAAATAGTTGTATTTATATGTAATCAAAAGAAATATCGGGTTTGTATATAATTTTCCAAAAAATTGTAGTTGTTTTTCAGTCGTGTGTGTTTAAGATGCGAAGTCTACATGGAAGGTCACTGGGCAAAGTGCTTGCACATTTGCTTTTTGTTCTTTGCAGCACTACTGTTAAGTTCACAAGTTCAAGTCCAAAAAAAAGTGGATAATCCACTCTGCTGACTTTCAAGATTATTATATTATTCAATTCTCAGGAATGTTGCAGAGTGCTTGTCCAATCCGTGAGAACGTTCATTCTTATTAGGGGGAATATTTGGATAAGAACCAGACATTACTGCTCTGATAGAAAATCTCTCCTTGCAGAAAGAATAAAGCAGGACCAGTGGAAATAATTAGGAAAACTGTGACCATGTCGGGAAATGATAATGGCGTCTTGTTCTTTCCTAAACCTATGATCCCTTCCAGGGGGCTGATCTGGCCAAAGTACTAAATAAAATACAATATTTCTTCTTTATTAACATTGTGGTCATATATATGTACAATTGATTATCTTGTGGCCTTCATAAAGAAGTGGAAATTGATTTGTATTTTGCATTTATCCCATCAGCAAGTTCTTTATTCTCCAAAGCACCCCATTTTCCACATTTGCCCAACACTCAGCAACATTGAGCATGTTGTGTTTTCTGCCTACACCCTGTTCTCTGACCTGTCAGCTTACTTTTCTTTCCATTGATGTGTGTTTGAACACGTTTCTCCAAATGTTAAACCTGTTTCCGATAATAAATATCAAAAACTCTGGCATTTCATCCTGTAAAATCTAACCCATGAGAGCAAATAGTGCATTTCTAAGTGTTCACAGTGTCTACCCGAGTTTGCATTTTCATTTCTGAAATGACTGACTTAAAGGTGGGGGGGGTGACTTAAATGGTTGGAGAATTCCAAGCAAGTCCCATTTGCACCAAAGGACTTGCTGGTGAGTTAGTGGTTTTCAAAGAAGCGGGGAAAAAAGTAAGGGAAAACCAATGCCTAAAACAAAGCAAAGCTTGCAGTACCCAAGGTAAAGTTCCAGAGATGATATCCCATACAACAGAGGCCACAGTGCCAAAAAAATTTAGAGAGAGTGTCTGTGATCAGCTCCTGCAAAGACGTCTGCCAATTGGCCAGTCGCCCAAACCCAGTGAAGTCAAATGAACCCTGAGCAGTGGCAGAGCTTCCGTGCTCAGGTTGGAAAGGAAACCTAGGCAGGGCTTTGTGGCTCTGTTTGTAGACTGGGGAATCCATAGTGCCTGTTTACTGGCAGTGTTTCAGGTCAGTTTCCAGAATGTGTGTCCTCCTGTAGTCCCTCATGGCTGAAGCCTAGCTCTTGCTCCATTCCCAACCCCTGCCTTAGAACTGAATCGGCAAGGGCTGTTTGAATTAAGCCCTTCTTGGGCGCTAGCATGGGATGACCTTGAGCACACTTATCTTTGGAGGCTTTGAGGTTCTGAAGATCTTGGTTTGCATGATTAGTCTGGTCATCTTTTAAAGCGTCCGTCCTTCCCCCCTTTTGCTGTTGCATTTGCACAGGTAGAAACTGTTAGACCCACGTATGGCTAGCCAAGTCTTCCTTGTCCTTCAGCCATCCTTTGCTCTTTCTTAGCATCTTAAAAACTGAACCATATTTCTCCAAATTCTTGACACAGGAGTGGGAGTATTTGACAAGGATTCTATCTTCTGGCAGGTTCATCATTTGCAGTTTTCCACTTCATTGGTTCGGATTTTATTTTCTTTTTATTTTTCTTTTTTTCAAGACAGGGTTTCTCTGTGTAATGGCCTTGGCTGTCCTGGAACTCACTCTGTAGACCAGGCTGGCCCAAACTCGTGGAGATCCACCTGCCTCTGCTTTCCAAGTGCTGGGATTAAAGGCATGCACCACCACCACCTAGCTTTGGTTCTGATTTTCTTGGCTAAATTACTTGTAGAATAGCAGGTCCCATGTGATGTATATACATATCTTTGTGTATATACAGTGTGTATATGTTCTAATTTATGCATATACATTTATGAGAATATGTATGTTACACATGTGGATGGTGACATTTCAGTTTCCACTAAGGTTCAGAGGTTATACAATAAATGGAACTATGTCATTCTTACACAACCTGAGTGGTTCAGGTTTTTCTCTATTTTTTTTTAGGAGGGAGAAAGTCCATCTACACAATCGAAAAATGCATCAAATCACTTAGTTAAGGTCTATTTAATTGGTTTGCTCTTGAGATACTGATTCACTAGGTACTAATATGCCATGCTCCCACCCCTTTGATTGAAAGGCCAAAGAACAGAGCTTTGTAGTAAAGAATGGTTAAAGTGGGCAAAAGAGCTGGGGGTATACACTGCAACCTGAGGAAGTCAGGGGAAAGGACAGGTAGGGTGACAATAGGGTGAGGCACACACATCTGCTCTACTCAGGCAAATTGCATTTCTCCTTTCCTTCACCTTGCTGACATAAATTACAGCCTTATGATATTCTCTAGAGCAGAATTTTCTGACCAATTCCCTGCCCTACAAACTTCAAAGTGAACTTCTACCTAACTTGCGGGGCCCAAGTTCTAAATAAAACTTGTTAGATTTTAACGTGCACTTCAGTCATGAGTAATGCCTGGAGGGAACTAAAACCTTGATGTGGATACAGCCCCCATGGAGTCACGCTACTTTATAAATCCTGCCCCAGTGGTCTGGGTGAGGCCGGAGGTCCTGAATTCCTAATGAACTCCCAGGTGAAACCCCGACTCCACGTGCCAGAGGACTACAGTTTCAGCGGCAAGATTCGGTTGGCTGTTCTTTCAGTCCGAACTGCAGATGCTGAATTGAGTGTAGCTCCTTCAAGCAAAAGCCGTATGTAGATAGAAGGAAACAGAACGCAAAGCTGCGTTGCGTGGCATCTGAAAGAGTGCCCTGTGTATTTTTTCAAAGACATTCTTTCCCCCTGCAAGATGACTGGCAATCTTGCATTCTAGCCACTCTTAGACATGAAAACACTTGGTTGCTTATCTTGTAAAATCTGCTCTGCTTGCTTGCTTGGGCATGCTGAAGTCAGTTTAGTCAAATACGTGTCAGTACATCTATATGTATGGGGGAGCAGGTGCAAGCCCTTAAAAATGTACTTTAAAAAACTTTTAACACTTAAGACAGTGCACTGAGTTGATCCTGTGTGATCTTCGTGCCAAGCATCTGAGTTAAAGGGTTCCCTTTGAAGGCAATGGGTAGATGTCAAGCAATTGAAGCAGTTGTTTATACAAAATGATGCTTCATTTTTTGTGTGTGTGTGAGTTATAAGACCGTACACTAGTGGTATAACTTCACTGAGCATAAAAGGTAGTGTAAGAGTCTAAAGCAAGTATTTGAGGTTTGATCTAATGGAAGTTGGAATTTCCTAGGCTGCACTTGGCTTGGAATAAATAGCTTATGTGAATGGATTTAAGCTAGAAAAAAAAACAAAACAAAAAGGAATGGGTTTCCTTCTGCAAAGAGTGTCCATCCGGAAATAACTTCCTGTCTTTGCTTGGTGACTGCACCTCTTGTTAGCAGAATGTCATTTGGGAACTGAGGGTAGTTTGGGAATCACCTTACCCATCTCTCAGAAGAAATTTACTTACAAACAAGTCAGATTTGAGTATTTGTTGAAGAAATGTTGGGATGAATAGATTCTTAATCTCAACCAGTCTTTATTTGTGTAAGTCACGTGTATGTACGCACGCACATATACCACACATGCATGCACATCTCCAAGAGAAATTTTAATTTGCTCCTGTCTGGACTCTGAATGCTGAGAGGAGAGCGGCTATTTTTGCCCTGATGGGTTTATCATTGTGTTTAGGTCTCTAAACTTGGGATTGAGTCCCTCTGAGGTGCTACACCAGACACTTACTTCAACAGCACTTAAAAACTCGTGTTTGCCTGTGTGCTGGGCCCCACGCCAGGACATTGCCGGGAGTCCATTACTGCTGCAGTCCATTCTGATGAGGAGGTCTCCCAGCAAAGCCCCGGTCTGCTCGCAGCTTCCCTCATAAGGCGCAGGAACTCATCTGGACCGAATTTACCCTGGAACTGCTTGGCCACAACACTATGAGAGAATAATTATTGAACTATTTTACTGTACAACTATTTCCAAATTGTTGATTTTTTATTGATTTCAGGAGGCAAGCTAATTGCCCCATGGCAACTTGATGTTAACATTTAATGAAGATCAGGAAACAGAGTTTATGAAAAGCGTTTGTATAGTGACTGCAAAGCTTCAAGAACTGTTTTACACTTCCTGACGGGGCTGGGCCTCGCTTAATGCTTTGTTTTTATTGCTTAAGAGTGTAAACCTCGCTTTAGCCCAGTGTGTGGAAACTATACCCTCATTCCGAACTGCACATTTTCTTGTTGCTTTTGCCTTGATCCCCATGGCCTCTCCTGCCATATATAATCAAGACTTTCTCTGCTCTGTGTGCAGGCAAGTTTCTATCTCAGACACTGATGATACTACACATGCACACGTGTGCACACAGCCTCATGAACTGAATATGTTGCTTCACTGTGTTTGGGTGGAGTTTCTGTTCTGCACCCGGTTGCTAGACAACCAAGCAGACAAAATTTAGCGATTCAAAAGGCTTTCTTAAAGACGCCAAATTTGGGCGGCTCAACTCTTTTATCTCCGTCTTTAAGTAGAAGGTGCAGGTTTCTTAAGAAGATCCCCTAGCCTTTTGTTGGATAGATGACTGACTGCTGGAAGAGCAGTGTGCGTGTGTGTGTGTGTGTGTGTGTGTGTGTGTGTGTGTGTGCGCGCGCGCTCGCGCGCGCGCGATGTTTAGGTGTTTGCCGGTGTGCATGCATATGTGTGCACACCCATGAGGAGGTCAGAGGATAACATCCACTGTTCCTCTCAATAGCTCTGGGCTTTGGTTTTTGAGAAAAGACCTCTCACTGAACCTGGTTCACTTCAGTTTAGCTAGGCTGTCTGCCAGTGAGCCCCAGGGATCCTCTTACATCCACCCCTGTGCACCCCAGGCACTGAGGCTACAGACACGTGACCCTAATGTGGGTGCTGAATATCTGAATGCAGGTGTGTGTGCTTGTGCAGGAAGTTCTTGACTGCTGAGCCATCTCTCTAACCCAGATGAGTTTTTGAAGTCTGGCCCTACAGCATTGTCTGTCTGAGAGCTTTCCTAACTGTTGCTCCCATTTGCTGGAACTTGCTTCTCACCTGGAAGCTAACTTGGTTTCCAAGGGTGTGTTTTAAATCACTAATAAAGTTGAGCTACAGCTCCAAGCTCCGATTGTTTCAAAGTAAAGCAAAGACTCCTTTCCGGGGCAATGTTCAGAAGCACAGGGCCTGGGTGTGGAGGGCGCTGTCTCCGGGAAGCTACCCCAGGTTTTCTTCTGGGAGATAGTATTGAAAATATTTTCTAAAACCTCCGTGAAAGCCTAATTTTAAATCAAAGTCATTTTCTGATTTCTGTAACATGCTCCAGGAGCATGTTGTAAAATCAGGATCTTTGTAGACCAGCCAAGTTGGACTTGTGTTCACAAGTTCACTCACATGCGTACACAGTTGGCAGCTGACAGGCTCCACGCTGAGATCTTTCTTCCTCCTCTACCCTCTGACATGCTGCTGCTGCTCTGGCTCCTCTCTTTGTGGGGTTCCCTGGGCTGGAATGCAGTCAAATCCATGGAAAACTTTAACCACTTTCCTGATTCATTTACAGGCAGGATTTCCTGGCATGAGGATCAAGGAGGGAGAACTGAGGCTGGTTCATCACAAACTGGCTTGAAAA